TGACCACCATCACGATTCATGAGGGAGGCGTCGTCTCATCAGAGCTGCAGCAAGCGCTAGCAGTTGTGGCCACATGGTTGAGCAGGCGTCGTGGTCCATGTTGTTTTTATTTATGGTCACCAGGGAATCTGATTGAACGCTGTGTCTTTCTTTATGGCGACACATACACGGGATCTAACACGTCACTACGCTAGATTTGCACATCACTGCCGGCCTCATCACTGCCGAATTTGTGAGAACCGACAGTGATGTACCTTCACTGCCAGTTATGAGCTTGAAAATGAGAAAATGATTGGGGCTGGGCTAAAACCGGCAGTGAAGGACCACATCACTGCCGGTTTGTGGCTTGAACCGGCAGTGTTTTGGCAGCCACATCACTATCGGTTCAAGCCACAAACCGGCAGTGATTTGGCTATATCACTGTCAGTTCTAGCCAAGAACCGACGGTGATAAGCCTACAGCCCAAAAAGGTTGCAGCCGTCCTCTTCTTCCTCCTCTCTTCCATTCTGAGAACAGAGGCGTGTGTTTGAGCCCTTCCCTCCATTGTTGCGGATGCTCTTCACCATGAAGCTAGCGCTTGGATTTTAACAAGCATCCACTCCTTTGATTTTGTTGCTTAATTAGCTTTGTTTTGATGGCTATAATGCTTGATTCTCATTCTAGTTCTTTCTCCATTCTAGAGAGCACTTTTCCAATTGGATATTTGTGCAAGGCTCAAATTGTGGTGAATCCATCATCCAAACGGTTGGTGTCTATGAACACATTTAAATTCCTAGGTAATTATTCCATGGTGGTCAAGATCATCATTGTTAGTATGTGATGCTATAATTAGTTCTTAGAAGTAGAGTAGAATAGTTGTTCTTCAATATTGTGCAATAAATGTTTTTTACTACGATTTTCAATTTATAGGGCTGGGGCTATAGATTTCAATTTTCCAATAATTAGTGTACAATAATGTTTTCCAAAAATGGTACTTTTGAGCTATAATTGTTGTTCATGAAGCTCGATTTCTTATTAATTCTTTGTAATTACTATCTCAGTATTTTTTTGTGCAGAGATGGATCGAGAGTGGATGCATCTGTCCCGAACGGACAAGCGGTACATGCATGGCATCAGCCAGTTTGTCACCGATGCCAAAGTCCATGTTGGGAATGGGAACCCTGTCTTCTACCCATGCAAAGATTGCAAGAATCAAAGGAACTTTCGTCAAATTGAGTCTATACGATCGCACTTGATTACCAGGGGGTTCATGCCAAACTATACGATATGAACTATGCATGGCGAGGTTGGTGTGAATGTTCTGCAGGAAAATGATGATGATGTGGACATGCTTGACGTAGCCATCCACGATGCTGACGAGGAACCCGGTGTCAACACGGAACCTATGGCCATAGTCAATAATGTGTTTAGGAACATGCTAGCTGACGACACCGAGGATAACGATGGCATTTCTCAACTGCTACGTAATGTAGAGACCGGATGTCTTAGTGAAAGACAGCTGAGAAAGCTAGAGAAAATGAGACAAGATGGCAAAATACCATTGTATAGGGATTGTCCAATGAGCAAACTGGAAGTCGACATCATGCTGTTAGAGTTCAAATCGATAAACGGATTGAGCGATAAAGGTTTCGATCAGTTGTTAGGTATAATAAGGAAAATGCTCCAAAAAAATGAGTTGCTACAAAAGACATACATGGCCAAGCAAATGATCTGCCCCATCGGCCTCGAGGTTGAAAAAATCCACACGTGTTCCAATGATTGCATATTGTACCGTGGAGAAAAATACAAAGACTTGGACAATTGCCCCAAGTCTGAAGCTCCACGGTACAAGGAAGGGCCGTCAGATGAGGGTGCCAAGACCAGAGGAGGTCCCGTAAAGGTCGTTTGGTATTTTCCTATAGCTCCCCGGGTGCATAGGCTGTTTGCATGTGCATAGTCAGCCAAGCTGTTGCGCTGGCATGGCGAAGAGCGTAAGAAAGATACAATGATGAGGCACCCTACCGATGGCATGACTGGAGGACTATCAATACTATGTTCTATAAGGTCATCGGTGGAGAGTTAAGGCACCTTTGGTTTACTTTGAGCACAGATGGGATGAATCCTTTCGACCAGGTTAGAAGCAATCATAGCACCTGGCCAGTGACGCAATGTATATACAACCTTCCACCATGGGTCTGTATGAAGCGATCGTACATCCAGATGCCACTACTGATCCAAGGGCCAAGACAACCTGGGAATGACATCGATGTGTGTCTGGAACCAGTGATCGATGAACTAGTGAAGATGTTTAAAAAGGGTGTGCCGGATGTTTGGGACAAGTATAAAAAGGAACATGTGATGATCAAGGGAGTACTTATCACTACAATCACCGACCTACCGGGTCGAGGTTCGTTGTCCAGAGAGAAGACAAAAGGCTATCCTAGATGTGTCGAGTGCTTGGACGACACCGATGCGGTAAATCTGCCAAATAACTCAAAGATAGTTTATATGGGACACCGTAGGTTTCTACCTAAGGATCACCCTTACCGCAGGAACAGAAAAGATTTCAACGGTACTATTGAGAAACGCTTAACCTCCAAAATATCGAGACGGGACTGCGATACTTCGAGAACTCAACAAACTGGAGGTTGTCCTTGGGAAGGGGGACAATGCAGTAGCAGCGCCTGATGGGAGTGTTTGAAGAAAAAATCGGTTTTCTGGAAACTACCTTACTGGCCATTTCTGAGTGTACGCATTCCGGTGTCGTATTGGTCTCAAACTTTTTCTTAGGCTTGCACGTGCCACATGTGAACGAAACACCAAGTTTGGGATTTTCCGAAGATGGTTTGCTACTTTTTGAGATTTAATTGAATTTCCCGCGACGACACCGATTAATTATAGGTTGAACTGAGTCTACCCACGAAAAGATCTGGAATGGTGCCAAACTTTTACATAGGCTCTAATGTGCCCTAGGGATAAGAATTTTGTGGAGGTGGATAAAAAACTCTATTGGGTCCAAGATGAAATTCACCCTCTTTTGTCTCATTCAGCACACAGAAAAATATAATAAATAAAAAAACTGATAGAAAAACCTAAAATCCTGTGTGGGGTCTTAATTTGGGTGTAAAAGCTTGCCAAAAAAATTTCAAGCCATTTCGACATAAGAATACATATGCTTCTATTTATTCAGTATATAAAAAAATTTAATATATATAAACATCACTGTCGGTTTCAAAAAACCGGCATTGATGAGAAGAAACCGACAGTGATGCTGGTTATCACTGCCAGTTTATTTTGAAAACCGACAGTGATATATAAAAAATTAAAAAAAATTGTGCCAGCCCTCAAGTTCAAGCTTGGGTCTCGGGCTGCAGAGTTCAAAGACTTAACCGCTGCGCTAGTATGGGATGTGTGCCAAGGTTTATTTATTTTTTCTTTTTGACCTTTAGACCGCTTAATAAATTATAAAATTAAACCAAAAAAATTAGGCCGCTTGGGATTCGAACATGGGTCTGGGGGGCTAAGTTGCAGGGTCTTAATCGTTGAGCCAGTCAGAGGTATTCGAAAGAAATGGAAAAGATAACTTACTTATGCTGTAACCGCTACACCGCAATCACTGCCGGTTTCAAGAATGGCCCGGCAGTGATATTTCTCCACCACTGTCAGTTTAGACTTACAACCGGTAGTGATGAGCCATTTCCTGAAGTCATTTAATAAATTATAAAATTGAACAAAAAAATTTGGGCCGCCTGGGACTCAAACGCGGGTCTCGGGGGCTAAGTTGAGGGGTCTTAACCGTTGAGTCAGTCGAAGGAATTTGAAAGAAAATGAAAAGTGATCCTACTTAACACCTAAATGCTACACCACATCACTGCCGGTTTGGGGAATGACCCGGCAGTGATGTACCTCCATCACTATCGGTTTATAATTAGAACCGGCAGTGATGAGCTACTGGTATAAAAGAGGCGCGGGTTGAAATTATCCAAATTCATTTCAACCCCGCGCCAACCCCTCCCCTCGCACCGCCGGAGCACCACCCTGCGCCAACAGGCACCACCATTCCCCGCGCACCCATCCACTGCCCCCTGTGCCGCTGTTCCTAGCCCCGCGCTCCTCTTCTTCGACACCGATGCCCGTGCACCGCCCCACACCATCGACTGCCCCACGCCGAAGCACCGCGCCGTCTGTGCCCTCGTTCCTCGTCACGACGCCAGCCGTTCCCTTTTCCTCCAAGCCTGCACTCCCACCGCCGAGGACTTCAGGAGCGCGTGGACAGCTGCTTTCCCACCCCCCACGGTGAGTGCGTGGCTCACTGCCATCTTTGCGTTTGATGAAATGGCCCACCGTTCTCTAGTTGCTTGTGCAGTGAAAGCTCTGATCCACGACAAGCATCTGAGTGACAGTTCAATGCAAATCCTTTCACAAATCTCCATGCTAATAATTGTATTGCTAATGGAAACATAGAGAAATGGTTCTGTATTGCTAATAACTGTAAAAAAGAGAAACAAGTATTGGTCATTGCACAATGCAAGTAATATAATTCAAAGACAGGAAATGTCATTCAGTAATGATCCCAAATATTTAACAGAGGGGAGGACCCTACTATGATCAGATAAATAAAAACAAGAGCATATGCACAACCATGGAATGAAATAATGTAGTACAACAAGAAGAACCTAGTTGCCTGGTAACTTTTTAGAATTTGGTTTGCTCTCTGGATAACCACTCCAAACTTGTCATGGAATTCTCCATGTTATCAGCATAAAGATGCATAATTATTAACTTATGCAAGATTACAAGTAATACATAGTTATGTAGCCTTGTGCATTAAATTGGGAATATTTTTCAACAATCCTATCTTATTATGAGTTTTTGCATGTCACTTTCCTAGGATAGTATGAGATGCATATTTGCCCCTACCAACCATGTAAGATTCAGATCAAAGTATCACTAACACAAAAAAGACATAGGTCCGATAACTGACATAAGTCAAACTATTCTTAGTCAAATATGGAATGCACTCAAATGATAAAGGGTAGAGAAACAGGACTTAATGCAGCTTCTTTGGAGCCCATTACTACAATTGCTGAGCCCTTACTCCTTGATTTCCTTGTCTTGATAACAATGTCTTCAACTTTGCCAAATTCCTGGAAGAGCTCCTCCAACTTTGCCACATTGTACGAATCAGCACTCCCATCCCATGAAACCTTCAAGATTTTTCCCTTGTCCGTTTTCACCCCGTCCCCTGTGGGGTTCCACCTCCTTATCTCCATGCTTTGAACACATAACCAAATTGTGGAAATTGTTAACCAATAAATATCAATGACTCATTGGACAACCTCTTGCTTAGCCTTAGCGCGGACTAGATAGGTACAAATACAACCAATTTCCCCTCGATCAAACTACTCACCAATAGCCTTGAAGAAATGTGATGCTTCAGTGAACCATAATGTAAATGAGTCACAATTCAGAATTTTCCGACATCCGGGATCCGAACATATTAATTTCTAATCCAATGAAATGGAAAAACAATAGCATGGCAAGACTGCATTCTATCCAATTCCCAGCCTCTTGCACATCTTAGCATGGACCAGATAGGTACAAGTACAACTACAACCAATTTCTAAAAGATTTGGGTCTTTTTACTTCTTAGCACTGTCCATTTAATCTGGAAATCGATGAGAATGAAATAAAGAAGTTGAGTAGATCGGACTTCATAGTTCTCTAGCTGCTTGTACAGTGAATGCTCCGATCCATGGCATGCATCTGAGTGACAGTTAAATGCAAATCCTTTCACAAATCTCATTCCTAGAGCTGATTATGAGTCACTTCAAGTTTCAAGCTTGTGCAAAAGCCAAGATAAAGAAAAGTTAATTGGACTGAGGCTAACTACAAGAAAATGAGGGTTGTTCGATCTGTATCAGGCAGGATGATTTATAGTGAGACTGAAGACTCTGAGACATCTCTAGGAGTATATCCAAAAGTCTTAAACTGGCTCTCTAAATCATCATTTGGTTTTTAAAGAATCAAAAAATATTCTTTATATCTTTCCTACATCTAACAACTTTTCTTTATCTTGTATGCATTGTAGAGGGTTCAATGCACTTAGACTAAGGTTATGATGACTTAATATATTAATTGGACTGAGGCTATGGTCATGTGCAATGATGATATAATCATAAGTTGTAGTAACTATTACTGAGGCACGTGAATAGCTATTTTCCAAACACTCCTATCTATGCAATGGTTGTGTGTTATTCATAAATATATTAAATTTTATAAGAATACATCATGTTTGAACGACAACCTAATTTACTTAAATGTATAGGCAACCATGGCATGGTATGTACTGCATGTTGGTCACGTGCCTGGGATTTATCGAACCTAGGAAGATTGCTATGCTCAAGTCAATTGCTACCCTGGTAATTTGCACAAAAAATACAACATAAAAGCTGAAGCTTTGAGGGCCTACTATAGTCATCCGGCCTACCTTGCAAACCATGGGCAACCGGCCTACTATGGTCCAATGAATGCAAACCATGGCCATCCGCTGGCACTAGAGATTGAAGAGAAGCCACCCGCCGGAGATGTGAAGATTAGGAGAATTGCTCCTTGGTCTTGGAAAGATGTCATGCTTTTATTTATGGCTATGGTAATTGCTTTTCTTATTTGGAAGTTGATGTAGGCTTAGATTCGTAGAACAGTAGGTGGACTTTGTTGTATGTGGTCAATCAAACAATGAATTTATTCTAGGTGAACATATGCTATTATTTGACTTTGTTGTATGTGGACTTATTATTAGACTTTGCATTAAACATATTATATATATAATATGAACATATGCTATTAGTAGTTATCCGCAGCCAAAACTAACCACGATCGTGTCATAGCCATGACTCATCCTCACCTGTTACCCCGTCGCCGAAGAACAGATCAGCAACAAGAAGCGGCTGATATCGCTGGGACGGGAGAGCCGCATGATCCAACAAACAGTGACGGTGTCAATCAGGACGGTGAGAATGAGCAGCCATGGACCCCGTCTAGCCTGCTCGATCTGGGTCAAAATGACCAAGATGGCCAGGTAACTTTGGTATCATGTGACTATGTAGCCACACACGCTAATCAATTGAGAGGGTCATAGCTTACTTGGTGTCTCTAGCAGGAGCCTCCGCCGGCCAAGGAGGCAGAGGGTTCGGGTAGCAGGAAGGCCAGATCCAAGTGAGGCATGTCAAAGATTCCTGTTGGTAGGAATGCATACTGGCACATCACTGAGTTCGATGAATTCGGGGATCCACTCTCATCGCCTATAGCTTTGACCAAATACAAGACTATCCTCGGGTTACTTGTAAGGGACTTCATTCCGATTAGGTACAGGAAGTGGATTGAGAAAGATGATGACCCATGGAGGCTTCTCGAAAGTGAGAAGGATTACATATGGGATATCAAGATCCCAGAGTATTTCACTTTCCCAACAGAGTATGACAAGGAGTTAGTCAAGAAAAAAACAAAAGAAATCATGGGGACATGCTTCAAGAATTTCAAAGGGACATTGTATAAGAATTTTGTCCTCTAAAATAAAGAGCCAGATTTTGATGGTGGACAGTTTAGCAAGCAGAAGGACTTCTGGTAGGATTTCAAGGAATACAGGTTATCCGAGGAGTACTTAGAACCGAGCAGGAAGAATAAGGAGAACTCGTAGAAAGCGACAAATCCTCATCATCTCAGCTCTCGTGGCTACGCCAAAAAGATGCTAGAATTTGAAACAGAACTTGAAAAGATGGATCGCCTTACTGAGGAAGACGTTCAAGTTGAGACCGCCGATTGGGAGCCAAGATCGGTAATATACTGTATGGGGAGGAATGTACGCCACACAGAGGACAGGAGCTTTAGCTCCACAAATCAACCCATGAGCGAACTCATCCAGAGGATCTCCTAGGTAACTGAGGAGGTAAGGCAAGGGACTCGCACTTCTAATAGGGAGAAAGACGTGCTCACCCAAGCACTCAGAACCAACGAGCACCCTAGTCGAACTAGAGGAACCGGTGTTGTTCCTTGGAAACTAGCATTCCCCCAAGAATCTAACACTTACTAGAGCCGCTCGAGGGGTAGAGTGGATCAGGAGGCAGAGTATTTGAGGCGACTAAAAGAGATGGAAGAAAGAATGGATGCACGAATTGAGGCAACTGTTGAAGCACGGGTGTAGCAAATTTTGCTGTCCAAGGGGTCAGGAGTACCATAAAACCCTACTCCTACTACCTTTAGCCCACAATTTAGGGGCCGCAGCAGCTGCGGATCGACCCCGCTCGACGAAGAAGATACGAATGTGCCTCATCCGGTGGACATCATCACTGAACCCGTCAATGTCAAGTTGTACATCCGTCATGAATTGACAAAGGATAAGGTGGCGCTCGGTCAGGCCTGGCCTGCGAGAGACGGGACCATTAATGGCCTCCCAATTCCACAGGGGTACGCTCACGTCACCATTGACAGAATACTTGATAAGAAGTATAACAAGATACACATTGAGTACCCCATAGCGGAAGACATGCCAAAACTTGGTCATAACAAGGGCTCTCAAGTGGTCTGGCGCAAGCGCTTCATTAAGCTTGACCATCAATTATCCTCTGATGATGAGGACGACTGTGAGTCTTCGCCCACCCACGATGATCACTCACCATCTCCCAACAGAGATCACTCCCCTCCTCATCCCTTGCCATCACCCCCGAGAAGATAGAGGTAACCTTCTATTCCTCCTCGTCCGACTCCATCTTCATCAACCCTGAGAAAAGAGAAGACTCCTCCTCCTCCATCTTCTTCAGCCCCGGGAAAACAGAATTCTCGTCGCCATCCTCCTCCTCCTCCACCTCAGCCCAAAACAAGATCAAAGGCATCCTCACAGTCGCAAAAAAGGTCCTTGGATTCAGTCGCTAATGCTCCCAAAGTGGACCAACAAAAAAAGAAAAAAGCCGTTCAGTGACAGCGTTACAAACTTGATGGAAGGAAAATTTATAGCACACATCTCGAAAGAAGATTGTATTAATTTCTTCAATCTCTGTGCCTCACTGCCTCCGTTTTTGTTGAAGTCTGAATTCGAAAGGCAAACACAGAATCAGTACACTACAACAAGAGCCGATGAAATACACAATGAAGATTTGAGGAAGATACAGAGGTACGTCAAAGACAACCCCGAATTAACTATGGAAAAGGCCGTGAACATCTATTATGATGTACAAGGGATGGGAACACTGGCAATGAAGTATGAAAGGGGCAATCTTTTGGTTCCTGATCACAAGTATAAAAATTTGACAACATATATGCGCTAGTTGCATGAATATTACATGGCTCAAACAACAGAGACGAAGGACTTTGGTTTTGAGGTTATTATCCGTTCGCCACATGTTTTTCATTATCCTGAAGAAGAGAAGTTCGATGTCGAATCGGAGTGCTTGTTCCAACTATACCAGAAACGCTCTCTCGATTCACAAATGTTTACGCTATGGACTATGTAAGTACCCTACATGCACGATATTACAATTAACTACTCTCTTGAGACACAAATTGTTAACTTTTGAGCACTTTCCATGATTTTATGTAGGTTTATAGCAAAATTTTGCATACTAAAAAGCAAATGGGATAACAAAGGCTTCTTGGACCCCTTGCGAGTCAATAAGAAGACATGTTTAGGCCTCCATGGATGTGATGTGGAAGACCTGAAAGAGAGATTGATTGCTGTTTTTGATAAATTCAAGATGAAGAACAAAACCCACATACTTCTAGCCTACAACTGCGAGTATGTGTTCTTAGCTTTTAATTTTATGCTTCTTTTTCGTTAAGATTATTCGATAATTAGGATTCTGTGGTTGCAGCAACCATTTCGTCTTCATTTGTGTCAATCTTGCTAAAAATCTGACCGAGGTGTGGGACTCGAAGAAAAAACCATTTCATCATCTGGATGCACTGGTGGCAGTGCTGAAATATTAAGCGATCCTAATAACATATTATTTTGTAATCACACATACCGCTTTCTAACGTTTCTCCTTTTAATGTTGCTCAGTGTCCAAAGAAGACATATCGGTGGGACGCAGGTCCCATTCAAGATTGTCGAAATGGAGGGGAAGTACCTAAAACACCCGGCGGGAAACAATGAATGCGGGTTTTATGTAATGTGGGCAATGCTTCGCTACATCGGCGGGAAATCAGAAGAAGCCGATAAGTTGGTGTGTATAATCCCCATTTCATTTATGTCTGTTAATCATTCAACAAAATGATTTAC